GCCCCAGACAGCATAGCTCCTAGGATCATTGGGACACTCAAACCCCTCTACCACGATAAGGTAGCAGCTTAAGGAGAGGGATCTTCAAACTAACGAAATATAAAGTTATTAGGGAGGAAAACCCGTCTGGATAACAGCAGACTGACTGCTCGTAAAATATACGACAGGTCTGGACCACTTGTGAATTTTGTTCATATCTGAAGAAAATCTTAGAATATGAAAACATTGGTGAATGCCACAAATTCTTCTAAATCACTCGTACGCACAATTTAAGAACAAATATGTGCGTACGAACGGTTCTTGCATGAGGCCCATTATATTGATACGCTTTGCTTGCACTCTTGGTCCAAATACAAAGAATACAACTGAACAAAATGGGTCATGTGAATTTCATCAAGATTAACGTGATGCAGCCTAACGTCTTGCTTTCAAGTGTAATTTGACAGTACATTCTTCAGTAATTGCACAATCGTCTTCCTCCAGCTGTCACAAGAACATACAGGACGTTCATCACAGTCGTCTTTTTTTGGAAACAAACTTCCAGCAGAAGTTGAAATGTCTGCAGTACTTAGGAAGTAAGTTTCTAAGGGGGAACGTAATGAAGTCTGACAGTGCAGAGCTATAATCATTGGGAGTCAGTGGGTGGTATGGTAGCAAGCTAATCCTCTTCATGTTCTGGGGCTGTGAGCAGCAAAGACCTAAGCTGCCTTTTAAGACCACAGCCACCAGCTTGATATTCCCCCAGCATTCAGAGCAGCTAGACTAGGGGGTCTACAGAGACACTGGCTGCAAGGAAACACTTGATAGCTGCATTATTCTTCAGCAGATTACAATCACATGGTCTGTTTTCTGATTGTTGTGTCTAAACAGGGTGATTGTGGAGTTCACACACTTTCTCACTTTATCCAATGGCTGAATACTTTTTTTCCAGTTAATTCTGACTCAATTTAGAGAGTATCCAAATGGAAACAGCTTTTGGTGGATAGTTTGTCACGAACACTTCTCTTTTTTTGTGTACATGATAAATTGACTGGCTTGATGCAGCTCTCACAAAATCAGTTGCTTTACCACTTATTCAAATTAAAAGTGATTGCACACAGTGAACATTTACTGCCCAAAATGGAGTGAGTTTCCTCAAACAACAATCCTACAACAATCATCATGTTCTAGGCTAAAACAAAGTTAAATAAATAAATATTTTATGTAGAAACATTATCTTGTTGTAGCGTTAAACTGGTGCAATTCACACTGAGCCAACCTCGGTCTCTTACTCTCCTCTGCAGCTGCATTTGCTGAAGTGTCCCCAGTTCACAGTTAATATGACCCCTCTGACATCAGCCTCCGTCTTCACAGAAGGTGCGAGACTAAAGCCCCTATCACAAATTGTCATGTCAGTCATGTCAAGAGAGACACTTCAGGTTATGTAATGCATTGATTTGACGTGTGTTCAAGTGACTCAGTTATGCAGTCACCATAAATATTAGAACATTTACTTAACTGGTCAGCATTGAGTATGGGGGGGTGTATATTATTTAAAATCGACTTTTTGAAGCTTTATATAATGTTATGATGTCATTCCCACATCAAAAACATACCCAGAGTGTTGCTTTAACTCATTCATGCATGTTTAAGAAAACCTTGAATCTCCTGTGGTAGCCATGTGGAGCTGCCTAAATGTTTGCCAGACATTGCACCGCCTATTTACCCAAAGATCCTCCCACAGATTTCCCCTTACCCAAAGCATTGTTGTGAAGATAATCTGAAGTGGGAGTGTTGGAAATGGCAGGAGGTTCTTAAAGAGACAGGCCAGTTTCAAAGTGTTTATATAGGCTATGATGCAAAGGTGTATACAGTATGTATATATATACTGTTGGTATATAAGTGTATATGTATATATAGGTATA